CTCTATTTCCTAGGCTTGATAATCCAATTGAACAACTCACAAACTGCAGGGAAAGGGCTATCTTTAATCTAGAAGGGAAAGGATACAACAACAAAGGGGAGGTCAGGAGAGATTTTAGCACAAAACTTCCATGTCCCCAGGGGAAGTACCTACCCTCCAGAAATCAGAATGTTCCCCCTCTCCAACCTGGTAGCTCCAATGAGCATCCATCTCCACCGGCTTTTCTTGGCATCGCCATGTGCCCTCCTAAGACTTAATCAGCATCAAGCCCCCAGGAGATCCCACTTGGTTAAGTCATCCCCCACTCGTTGGCCTCAGATGTGGTCCTGCTCACAGAAACCAGGACCAAAGGTCAAACTGTTTACTGCAAAGGGGTTCCACTGCTACCTTCCACACCGCACAACAGGTATACAAAAGCAAAAGACAAATAGAAGATTTGGAAACATGAAATGGACAGAAGCAAAGTCTCTTTTTAATAAATTCAATTCCAGTAGACAAGGTTACAGCCCATGAAGACAGAAGGGTAATTTCCAATATATACTTTTATCTATAGGAAGCTGTTTTTTTCTGGGAACAGATATTTTCCTTGCTTACAAGGGGTGTGTTTTATTATTAGAGCAAAGGGCAAATACATTCAAGCACATTTATGCTACTGCTAAACAATCTCAAGGAGGAAAATGTTAATGTAAATATAAAACCAAATTGCTATTTATGAAGGCAAAGTTTAGTACCCTCAGTCATGGAAGCACATGTCCCCTTCCCCTGTGGGAATGGCAGCCTCTGTTCCCTGAGTCCCTGAGTGAGAAGATGTGTAGCAGATCCTCTAGCTGACCCCAGTAAGCATTGGTGAAATCAAGAAATAAATCTCTTTTGTTGCAGCAAAACTAATCCATCTTGACTGACACATTTTCTTGTTGTCAAAACTTGCCTCCCTCTCTAGAGGCAGAAAATGCCAAACCGTCTCTTTCCCAGCTTCCCTTGCAGCTAAGGATAACTGTGTGACACATTTCTGGACAAGTAAATGTAAAGGACATTCCACTTGTATTCCTACTAAATATTTTCCATCTTCTAAAAAGAGATTCTGAGGAGAACCCTCCTCTTTCTGCTGCTGTATGCAATTGTATGAAGACATGAGGTAGCTTTCTTTCAACTGAGAGAACAAGCCCAAGATTTAAAGTCAATATGTTAAGAAAAGCGCCTACGTCGTTGGTAACATCATTGAGAATGGCTTCACCAAACCTGAATTTCTCACCTCAATCCTTATTGCTATGTGAGACTGTAAATGTCTTCAGTGTCTGGACTACTGTTGTTTGTTATAGCAGAATGCATTCTAACTAATCGTATGGGAAATATGCAAATTTCCCTCTCTGGCATCATATACAGTATGAAATTCCAAAAACCAGTATAAACCACCAGGAACCAAAAGCATCATTTGAAAGCACTAAAGACATAAAAGGATCATATAATGATGAAACCTTTTGGCTAAATATGAAATCCAATTAATATTAGAAAAGGATAGTGTGCCTAATTACTTTGGAGGAGAAGCATAAGAGAGTAAATTAGGAAAGGATATTCACAAGTAAATTTATCTTTATTCTTGACCTCTTTGTTCAGAATTGGCTTATAAAACAATTTTACAAACAACCATCTGATTAGGAAACTCTCCATTTATGTTGCCCTAGTAGTGAAGAATGCCAATCTTACGTATTTTGCTAGCGGTAGATCTTCGGAGGGTGAGGAGGAACTGATAAAGAAATGGTTCCCTTATATTTGATAGTTACAGAGTTTATTTCTATGACTGTCCCACCTGATTTACATGGAATCCACCACTTTTTGTTTCATCTCTTTTTTTGAAAAAAAAAAGTATTCATTTGTCAACATTATCTCTCATTAGAAAATACTTTCCCAACTATTTTTTATTAAACATTCTATTAAATATTGATAATTTTTTACAATACTCATCAAAAAAATACAGACCTAAACAAAACCAAGACCTAGAATTCTGTCCTATTAATGCCCAGTTAAGAGTTAATCTTCACAATAACATGTTCTCCCTTTAGATGCAAGTAGAGCTCATTCAAAGAAAATACATTCTGAAATGAGCTGTCAGCTTCATTCTGTTGAGTCATGCAGGATCCTCTTGAGGTACTTAAATGAAAACATTTTTTTTTTAATACAATCCAAAATAGCCATAAACATCTAATGAAATCCAATTGCCATTTGTTAAGAAAGGTTAAACTTGCCTGAACCACTCCTCACGTCCTGACTCCAAATGACTGTGTGTTATTTTGTCTGGTCCTTTCTTATTGTTTCTTTTGCCTTTAACATCTATGTATTAACTTAGGTTAACACTGACCTAACATCATATACCAAAAGAGCTTTGAATAAAGAATCGTAAAATATGCCTGGTTAAAAAAAAAAATCTTGAATGTGT